CAATACAAACCATTGGTTTGACCCAACTTTATTTTTTTTTAATATCAAATATTAGGAATATTTGAAAATTATTTGTATAATTAGTATTGTATATTAAGTTATAATAATATTGAATATAATTTTTATATTCAATATTATTGTTATTGTTATTGTTATTGTTATTGTTATTGTTATTGTTATTGTTATTGTTATTGTTATTGTTATTGTTATTGTTATTGTTATTGTTATTGTTATTGTTATTGTTATTGTTATTGTTATTGTTATTGTTATTGTTATTGTTATTGTTATTGTTATTGTTATTGTTATTGTTATTGTTATTGTTATTGTTATTGTTATTGTTATTGTTATTGTTATTGTTATTGTTATTGTTATTGTTATTGTTATTGTTATTGTTATTGTTATTGTTATTGTTATTGTTATTGTTATTGTTATTGTTATTGTTATTGTTATTGTTATTGTTATTGTTATTGTTATTGTTATTGTTATTGTTATTGTTATTGTTATTGTTATTGTTATTGTTATTGTTATTGTTATTGTTATTGTTATTGTTATTGTTATTGTTATTGTTATTGTTATTGTTATTGTTATTGTTATTGTTATTGTTATTGTTATTGTTATTGTTATTGTTATTGTTATTGTTATTGTTATTGTTATTGTTATTGTTATTGTTATTGTTATTGTTATTGTTATTGTTATTGTTATTGTTATTGTTATTGTTATTGTTATTGTTATTGTTATTGTTATTGTTATTGTTATTGTTATTGTTATTGTTATTGTTATTGTTATTGTTATTGTTATTGTTATTGTTATTGTTATTGTTATTGTTATTGTTATTGTTATTGTTATTGTTATTGTTATTGTTATTGTTATTGTTATTGTTATTGTTATTGTTATTGTTATTGTTATTGTTATTGTTATTGTTATTGTTATTGTTATTGTTATTGTTATTGTTATTGTTATTGTTATTGTTATTGTTATTGTTATTGTTATTGTTATTGTTATTGTTATTGTTATTGTTATTGTTATTGTTATTGTTATTGTTATTGTTATTGTTATTGTTATTGTTATTGTTATTGTTATTGTTATTGTTATTGTTATTGTTATTGTTATTGTTATTGTTATTGTTATTGTTATTGTTATTGTTATTGTTATTGTTATTGTTATTGTTATTGTTATTGTTATTGTTATTGTTATTGTTATTGTTATTGTTATTGTTATTGTTATTGTTATTGTTATTGTTATTGTTATTGTTATTGTTATTGTTATTGTTATTGTTATTGTTATTGTTATTGTTATTGTTATTGTTATTGTTATTGTTATTGTTATTGTTATTGTTATTGTTATTGTTATTGTTATTGTTATTGTTATTGTTATTGTTATTGTTATTGTTATTGTTATTGTTATTGTTATTGTTATTGTTATTGTTATTGTTATTGTTATTGTTATTGTTATTGTTATTGTTATTGTTATTGTTATTGTTATTGTTATTGTTATTGTTATTGTTATTGTTATTGTTATTGTTATTGTTATTGTTATTGTTATTGTTATTGTTATTGTTATTGTTATTGTTATTGTTATTGTTATTGTTATTGTTATTGTTATTGTTATTGTTATTGTTATTGTTATTGTTATTGTTATTGTTATTGTTATTGTTATTGTTATTGTTATTGTTATTGTTATTGTTATTGTTATTGTTATTGTTATTGTTATTGTTATTGTTATTGTTATTGTTATTGTTATTGTTATTGTTATTGTTATTGTTATTGTTATTGTTATTGTTATTGTTATTGTTATTGTTATTGTTATTGTTATTGTTATTGTTATTGTTATTGTTATTGTTATTGTTATTGTTATTGTTATTGTTATTGTTATTGTTATTGTTATTGTTATTGTTATTGTTATTGTTATTGTTATTGTTATTGTTATTGTTATTGTTATTGTTATTGTTATTGTTATTGTTATTGTTATTGTTATTGTTATTGTTATTGTTATTGTTATTGTTATTGTTATTGTTATTGTTATTGTTATTGTTATTGTTATTGTTATTGTTATTGTTATTGTTATTGTTATTGTTATTGTTATTGTTATTGTTATTGTTATTGTTATTGTTATTGTTATTGTTATTGTTATTGTTATTGTTATTGTTATTGTTATTGTTATTGTTATTGTTATTGTTATTGTTATTGTTATTGTTATTGTTATTGTTATTGTTATTGTTATTGTTATTGTTATTGTTATTGTTATTGTTATTGTTATTGTTATTGTTATTGTTATTGTTATTGTTATTGTTATTGTTATTGTTATTGTTATTGTTATTGTTATTGTTATTGTTATTGTTATTGTTATTGTTATTGTTATTGTTATTGTTATTGTTATTGTTATTGTTATTGTTATTGTTATTGTTATTGTTATTGTTATTGTTATTGTTATTGTTATTGTTATTGTTATTGTTATTGTTATTGTTATTGTTATTGTTATTGTTATTGTTATTGTTATTGTTATTGTTATTGTTATTGTTATTGTTATTGTTATTGTTATTGTTATTGTTATTGTTATTGTTATTGTTATTGTTATTGTTATTGTTATTAGGTTATGTGATGGCAACAAATTTTGCATATCGAGTTTTCGGTGGGAATGCACTTTTCCATGGTAGGGAAGTGTAAATAAATTATGTTAAGCAACCTGTCGATCTGTGTGTGGACGCGTGTATCTCAAGTTCGGTTGAACCGATTTTGATGAAATTTTATATGTAAGTTTATTTCGACCATAGCACGGATTGGTCAACTTTTGGGATATATGAGGCCTCAGAAACTGCACTTGTTAGCGGGCCTGTTTTACATTTTTGACATATTTGAAGAAAATATTCAAACGATTTACTTGAAATTTCATATGTAAGCTTTGCTCGATCGTCCACGAAACCTCCTAACTTTTGAAAGAAATGAGGCATCAGCAACTTACTTTACTACGGGCCAAATATAATTTTTTGCGTATGTAAAGAGAAATAATCAACCGATTTCATTGAAATTTAATATTTAGGTTCTTCGTATTAAGACGATGAACATATGTATAATTTTTTTGGAAAGATCGGGGCTTGAAAAATGATCTGCGGGCCATTTTTACATTTTTCACCATATCTGCGGAACGAATTGATGAAATTTCTTGAAATTTGATATTTGAACTCTACTAAGAGCCAAATTTACATTTTCCTAGATGTGTTAACTATAAACTTACTAATGTCCTAAAAATTGAAAAGAAGTATTTAACAGACATTTTTATAATATTCTGTAACACTTTCACACCAGAATCATTTTGGTTATTTAAGTTCATAAATAAAAACAACAATAAAAATTAATAGTAATAGAAATATTTCACTATATTTTTTTTGCGGAAAATTACTATGCGTAGTATTAGGCAACTATATTATAACAATCAATAACAATAATAGGAATAATTATATCATATCTACCCACATGTAATTACTTATGCTGCATAATAAAGCAAACTAAGGCTTATTCTGCTTATGAGAATATGAAAATAAAATGAAAATTAATACATTGTGAAAAAATCGGTATAAATTTTATACGATACGAATACCATATAACATATACAGAATTGGGAATATATACTTTTCTCGTTTTCTTTTGCAAGCATTGGAGATCTTACTTAGCCTACTGTTAATATGATACCTAGCAAGTAATTAAAATTTAATTCGTGTGCAGAATATGTGAACTTAAAATTTTTAAAAATTCTCAAATAGATTAAAAGCAACAAAAAATTCAATATCTCATGCTACACAAATTTAAAACCTTTTATTTTGTTTACAGATGTAGTGAACGCAAGGTTATAATTTATTACATGAACTGAATTCCTTCCTACATACCGTTGAATGTGTGCTGTAACTACATTATTAGGCAATAACATATTTATCTGCTGCAATTATTGTGTTCCATTGTTTTGTTTTTCAACTTAAATCTTAATTAAAGTTGAATTAAGTCTTGATTTAAGTTGAAAGCAAAACAACGACGATTTCCTACGACGAAATGTCAAAATTCATATAGAATACATATAAATGGGACTGCCTAGAACGAAGCGAAATTTTCCACTGCGGATTTTACCGTTCGCGTTGAAATTGCCGAAAATAAATCCCATTTTTTGACATAATACGTTTCCATAGGCGTCCTGCTTTATATGCAAAATACTGAACATGTGATTTTCCCGTTCTGCTGTTGTTCTGGGCTAACAACGAAAATCTTCCTTGGTTGTCGTTCAGTACTATGGTTTGTAGATGTAGAATAGATTCTGCATATGAACTTTGCAATTTTATTCTAAAATTTAAGTTAATTTAAAATTATTACTTATTGGTTGATTACTGCTGGTATATGGATGTTGAATTCCAATATGAACATTTTTTAAACATCAATTTTTTTTAAAGTTGAATAGCTTTATAACAAAAAGATAAGTTTGATTTCTTTTGAAGAAAACAAAACTTAATATTTTAGAGCTTTTTTAATTAATAATTGTTTTTGAAATTAAGGACTTTATCTCTGATAGAGAGGCTTGTGGTAAGTTTTTTGATTTGCTTACTTTTTAAGATGCTGCAGTATATGTTCAATGTATTATTGTTTAAGAATAATCATTTGGAAAACGGTTAAATAATCAGCAAAAAAATTACATAAAATATTCGATTACATAAATATGGAGAGCAGATGCCTCTGGCCCCCTCAAACATGCTAGTCATAAAAAAACTTTAAACTGAATACGAATATTATTCGATATATTTGATACTGAAGTATATTCAATGCGTTATTTGTTTATTCGATAGTGACAGCTATTCAACATTCAAACATTCGACAGTCCAAATCTTTCTGTACACTAGGTATAACAAAAGTATCTTCTTGTATGATATCACAAAGTATAAGTGTGTTAAACGTCCAGCCTTTTTAAATAAAAATGTAAAACAGAAGGCATTAAACAATTAAAGCCATTATTTTTATTCGTAGCATTCAGCAGTATGTCCAACGAAGGTCCACGTCCACTTGTCATTTGTGGCCCATCAGGTTCTGGTAAAAGTACACTATTAAAAAAATTATTTGAAGAATTCCCGGATACTTTCGGTTTTAGGTGTGTTAGTAGTACTTTCTAATTTATCTCTATTTAATTTTTTTTTATTTTATTGACTATATTTATATGGTTCATTAAGCCGCATTTACTTATATTTAATTTAGCATTTCGCATACAACACGTAATCCAAGACCTGGTGAGCAACATGGAATTCATTATCATTTTGTAACACGACAAGAAATGCACGATTCCATTTCGAACGGGGAATTCATTGAAACTGCATGCTTTAGTGGTAATTTGTACGGAACAAGGTATGTATATACTTTTACATTAATATAATTTTAAGAAATAGTAAGCTTCTTCGAATGTTAGTAAATAAAAAGAGTTTTTTTTTTTTCCTCCCGGTGACGAAGGCCCTTAGCTTTCCGGCAGACAAACTCTCGAGAGGCAGTGTCCAATGAGAACCCCACCAATAGCCTCAAATCTGGATGACCGAGAATGGCCAGACCTCAGTCTCAAGGGAGGCAACAATTTGTTAGACTGCGACAGGCCCAGGCAGACGTTCCAGTATTCAAACCTGGCCCACTCCTCTCATACATTCAGCGCACGCAAGACCGTTGTCCTGGGCACCCCAAAGCATGGTACCGGCCCAATGGAAAGAGCCGCTGCTTCCTCTCTGGCAAGACCATCAGCTCTCTCATTTCCGTCCACACCGTACTGTGCTTGCACCCACATCAAGGTTTTGTTGCGCCAAGGGTGTCAATGCATTTCTTCAGCAGTCTAGGTCGTAAGAACGGTCTTACTGTTTGACATAATAAATATCCTGCTGCTTTTAATGTTCCTGCTGATACATTCCAGAACACAAAACTCTCTGGCATATGTCTCAGCCTCAAATATCGACGGACAGTGTCAAGAGCCCTTGTTATGATTACGCCGTCACGTACACACCCAGGCCCGCCTCTCATTGGTTTTGGATCCATCCTTGTAGAAGATCACGCCCCCAGAACCAAGTTGTGGACTCATCCCTCCCATCTGCCATCCCAGATCTGCCTTTCAACTAGATCTAGATGTTTCTCTCTCTCAAAGTCCCCGGACATTCCCATGTCGTGTAAGCCGTTGATGTCCCCAGTGGACCTTTCCAAAAGGTAGCTTATGGTGTAGTCCAGCTGCCGTAACTTGGTTGCCGAAAGAGGATCGACTGAGATCTTCAGCAGGGCTCCAGTCACGACCGCGTTCTTCCCAATGATCCTCCTCTGGTCCGCCCGCAGCTCGGAGCTCTGACTTCTGACGTAGCCCAGGACTTTCTCAACCGATGTTTCGGCAGAATGAGGAAGAAACCCCTTGCCCCGTGCCATTAACTTGCTCTTGTCGGTTGCCAAGTTATATGACCTATTGCCCTCTAACCGTGTTGGCCCCCTACAAGTACCTCCTTTGGAAGTTTTATCTTTTGGACAGGCCCTCCGCTGTGTAGACGATTTCGGTCTATCCTGGGAACCTTTATTCCCCAGTTTCATCTCTAACTTAAACCTTTTCAGATCTGCCTGCTGCCTTTCCAGCGAGCTGTCAGATCTGACTGAACCACCGTTGCTTCACATTCCACTCACCTTTTTACTCTCCGTCGTTACCAGAGTGCACAACGTGGAAGTGACAGCACGATTTTGCACAGCTAAAAAGAATGTTACACATATGTATAGCGGAAATGAAAGTAATATGATATAAGAAAAAATATTCTTAACACATTATCTCCCGGCGTTGTTTCTAAAAAATTTTCCTCTGGTACCGGGGCAAATTAAAAAAAAAACTATTTCATTTGAAATGCTTTTTAGATTCAGAAACTTGAACAAAATAACTTCGAATTATCAAAATTGTAACCAATTAGAAATTATGTAATAATATAATTCAAAAGTTTTTAAAATGATAATATATTTTAAAAATTTTGGTACATGGATAATTAAACATTTTAGTATTCTTTATTGATATGATATTTTTGAAAGCATTCTCCAACATGTAATGCTACTTTACAAGATTTACACATATAAGCACTTGGTTTTCTTATTTTATGCGCAGAACAGACGCGACAATTCCTTCTAACAAATTTTTTGGCCTTATCGCTGAAAATTATTTTATAAAGGCGTTTTCTCTTATTTTATAAAGATGTTTGAGTTCAAATTCAACAAAATGCACATATATGTGTACACGGGATTTTCTTGAAGTTCAATTTAAAGCACAAATGTGTGCACACGGGACGTAATGTGTTAATTTTGTTTTAATAAACATGCTCTAATGCAATGTTGAACCTTTATGTATTAATATTTGTAATCAGTTCAATTATTATTTGCTGTTAAGTAAACGTTAACTGTTAAATATTTTTATCGTTACTAATACATTGAAATCAGTAACGATAAAAATATTATTATATTGAAATCGACCTGATCATTGACGCAGTGGTTATGCCACCGGTAATTTAATCGAAGGGTCTTGGGTTCAAACCCCGGTCAGGTCACTATAAAAATTATATTCAATATTATAGCTTTAATATACAATACTTTTGAAATAACAAATTAGTATACAAGTAATTTTCATATGTTCATAATTAATTCGATATTAAAAAAACCAAGAAAAATAAACAATAAATATTAATAAGCTTAAAGATTTCATAAAAAGAAAAACTATGGCAGGCTAGTCACCTACCTAGTTAAAACTCTATGACGCACTGAAACTTGAGCATGACATAGTGTATGATGTTATGCAATATCCCTATGGTCCTCCTAGGATTTGAAAAAGAAAAAAAATATGTATATGTATTGAAATTAAATATTGTCAAGAAATATTAATATAAAACTAACATGAAAGCTTTCAAATTCTAAGATATAACAAGTAAAAACATAATCAATCAAAACAACTTTTCGTGACTTTCAGTCAAATAACTACAGCCAAAATACCTTTTTCGTGTAAAAGTAAGTTAGTTTTTAATATTTCATAAGAGCTTATAGATTAGGCAAATGTGATAAGCGAGTAGAATATGAAAGTTATAGAATGTATATGTGAGTTAAATCGTAATTCTTCTTGGTCGACCGAGGGGTCTTCTCTTTAAAATACTGAACTTTCTCTCATTATTTTATCAGTTAGGTCTTTGCAAAACAGATATTGCTTGTTCCGCCTCTCTCTGTTATGAACTTAATGTCAAAATCATCGAATGTTTTTGTTCTGCTAAACTTTTTGGATTCAGTGATGAATATTAACTATCACTTGAAAGTTTTCCTTCGAAACTGTATCGCGTCAACTCGTTTGTTTATTTTAGAATAAAGTTGGCAGAATTTAATGAGGTAAAACTTAATATTTACCTAAAAATTAGAAAGAAATAGAATGTAAGAAGTATTGGTAAATTATGATTTTGTTTATGGTACAAAATAGTATTCTCAAGTGTTTTTTTTCGTTTATTTACCGTTTCCTTCCCAAAAATTCCCAGTTTGTCTATTTAAAAAGTGTAAGAATTATATTTTCAGTCTTATTTAAATTTTTTACCGACCGTATTGTGTAAACAATAGGTAGGTTATGTGATGGCAACAAATTTTGCATATCGAGTTTTCGGTGGGAACGTACTTCTCCATAGTAGGGAAGTGTAAATAAACTATTTTTAGCAACCTGTCGGTCTGTCCGTCTGTCGGTCTGTCGGTCTGTGTGTGCACGCGTGTATCTCAAGTTCGGCTGAACCGATTTTGATGAAATTTTATATGTAAGTTTGTTTCCACCATGGCACGGATCGATCAACTTTTGGTATATATCAGGCCTCGGAAACTGCACTTTTTAGCGGGCCTGTTTTACATTTTTGAACATTTTGAAGAAAATATTCAACCGATTTACTTGAAATTTTATATATAAGCTCAGCTCGACCGTTCGCAAATATTCGTATGTTTTGGAAGAAATCAGGCATCGGCAACTAGACGTTTACTACGGGCCAAATATACATTTTTGTGTATATAAAGAGAAATAATCAACCGATTTCATTGAAATTTAATATATGAATTCCTCATATTAAAGCAATGAACATATAACTTTTTTGGAAAGATCAGGGCTCGAGAACTGATTTGCGGGCCGATTTTACATTTTTCACCATATCCACAGAACAAATTGATGGAATTTCTTGAAATTTGATATTTGAGTTCTGGTTGTTACCGAAACTAGCTGGCGAGCATTTCAGGGAATTCGGGTAGCACAAAGCGAAACTCTACTAAGAGCCAAATTTACATTTTTCTAAGTATGTTAACTATAAGCTTACTGATGTCCTAAAAATTTGAAAGAAGTATTTAACAGACATTTTTATAATATTCTGAAACACTTTCATTTAACTAGACAATACACAATGCGGTCGGTTATGTGCTGACCACATCAGATTTTTTTTTTTTGTCATCGAAGGAAGGAGGAAAGCATGAATGCTACTAATATGCCATTCCCTGGCAACCCTTAGTTAGTTATGTGTTTTACCAAAAAAATCTCCACCATATATTCTGATACTAGTTCTCTTAGACCAACCATCAAATTTTCGTTAATATGGATTGAAAGTGATTAAACGCTCCCCGATTTGGCGAAGCGCATTTTGCGCTAAATCAGAAGGCAAAGTCCTCTTTAGCTTTCTAGGAGAATCCCGGATAACAAGGAACCGAGGGGCCTCTACATTGGCATGTTGCTCCAGACGAGTTCTATGCTCACTTTCGTTAATTTCGTCAACTACACATGCAATCTCCATTTGTAGTTGACAGCAAAAGGGGCATCCATCATATTCTGCAGAATCCTATTCTAGAAAGTTTTTATTCGCTGAACATGTATTTGTTTGGTGCACATCCCAACAACTGAATACCATACAACCAAACTGGTTCAATAATTTGGTTATAGGAGCCAATACATTTCTTTATATTTTAATTCTAACTCTGGCTTTTTCTTCTTAACATGTTCCTTCCATTTTAGCTTAACATCCAGTGTCATTCCTAGATATTTTGTCGAATTTTCCTGCGCAACATTTACCCCATTTAAATTAACAAGGGGGGGGGGGGGGGGTTTACAAGAACTTTATTTATAAAATTTACTTGTGCAGACTTAGTTTCATTTACATTTAATTTCCATTTCTTGGTCCAAGCATCAAAACTATTGCTTGCCGGCTGCAACTTTTTTGTGGCGTCGTCAATATATGATGCTACTGCCATAATTGCAGTATCGTCAGCATATGTAGCCACAATTGTATTTTCTATTTGAGTATTGGACCCAAAATACTGCCCTGAGACACGTCTGCTCTTATTTCTCTAAGTGTGGAATA